ATACATGTTTTATATATATATATATATATTGTAGTTTTGTAGCCAACGAGCTGAAAAGCTATCGCACTGGCAGAGCTCATCTCGACGAAACTCGACTGGCCGATCAGAGAAGGTTACAAGAAGATGGACACATATTTCACTGTTGTGGAAATTTGCAGATTATTCGGTAGAGCCACACAGTCGGATTTCCAGTAGCTGACCATATGAATGGAAGAATATTGTACGAACCAATGTAAGACTGAAAATTACTCGGCTTCGACAATAAAGAGTAAACTTCGCCTTTATTGTTCTGTCTGCTCCCACGACATCTCAAGGAGAAACTGAACAGCAAGAAGTCTAAGAGCAAATGTCAAATGTCATCACATCCATTCAATTAGCTGATCGTCTATTCCTGATGGGTGACTTCGATGCTGGATGACAAACAGACAGGGAAGGGGGTCATCGGATCATTTGGAGTTGAAGCCAGGAACGCAGACGATCAGCATTTACTAACGATGGGTGGCCGTGTAACTCGTCACCATAAATAAATGGTTCGGTGCTGGGGGGACGCGGATTGCGACTCCGGTCCATCTAAGAAATGGACATTTACATCTTTTGAATTATTTCACTCTCTCAAGGACCCCACGGAGGTTCACGTGACAGTAGTGATGCGCGATGTCGATTGCAACACAGATCATTCATTGACACGACTAAAAATGTTATTGGTCTTGGGAAGCCTCCTCGTCATCACAACCAGTTTCAAAATTTAGCGACTGTTGAATCATAAGTTCCAGGAGGCTTTTGCCCACGATTTGCCTGATAAAACTGCGTCGCGTACACCAAAATAACATTGGACAAGGGTAACGGACAGCTGTGACTAGAACCGATGAATTTAAAAAAGGAATAAAGACTAGTTATGTAAAATTGATGAATTTATGTTTTCCGTGGTTGATGAGAAACGGCGGGTTTTAGCAACGGTCCCGTAACCAGTAGGTTCATCAACCCAAAGGAAAACTTTGCGATACGAAGACCAAACATCTGAAACGTACTCAACCTGAAGACAGAATGGTGGGGTAAGAGTCAACAGACACATACTTCTGCAGACAGACGATTTCATGAACAATCATTCGGAGCAGAGTACATCCAAGATAACCGAACCGGTCGAATGCTCAATAAGTCCGAAGATTTAAACGGCACATTTCTCAACAACGAATAATTGTTCAGCTGTAACAGCCTTTCCGTGCACAGCTGCCATGCCACCGGAAGGAAGCCCGAGGGCTGGGATACAGCCAGGTTGCTTAAGCGTAGACAGAAGTCGAGATGCAGAGATCGGGTTCGGACCATGGACCTCTAGGTCAGTAAATTCGTGTTGTAATCACTGAGCCATCCTGCAGCAAAATCACCTGGTCTCGAAGACACCCGGTGTTCATTTGTTCGAATATGTTAGCTCAAACACAGACCTCTAACGGCTGAGAGCATAGCTTTTTTCACCCATCTCAATTCAACCTCCAAACAGTTTTCATGGTCAGAATGATTGCGTTTCCAGTAACTTCACAGCCAGATCATCTCTATATAGTTAGGGTACTGAAACTCGTAGAAGTTCATAAATGGAGGTGCACCGCTTCAGCAAGCGTGCTTTGACAGAGAACAAAGTGATTAACGAGCCCCCAAGACGGCATGACCGGAATCAAGTTACGCGCTCCGGAAGAATCGGGTAATATTTAGCTGAGGTTCCCCATCGTTGACTGACATTCACGTGACACAAACGATTCCACTAATGACTCAGGCGAGTGTGCCGAGCTGATTTCGAACCGGCAGGGAACAGGCGATGTTCAGCAGACAACAGATTTCCCTTTAGATTATCCGCAAATTTAGCTCCTGCTTCGGATCTACAACCAAATGAAAATTATGGGATTAGTAATCCAACTCGGGCGCCTATATTATTCATCCGTTATTCGGTATTCCGACTGAATGAAGCGACAGAGTTCGATAAAATAATCTACCTCAAATTCAGAACTGCAGCCTGTAGAGGCGTAGGATGATATGACATCGACCATCAGGAAGAGAATGGACCTTACCGTAGTGTAACGGCTTAGGTGCCTCAGTGACCCACTGAATTATACTGGGAGGCGCGCATGCGACACCCAGTGTCTCATACCAGGTTGGCTGGTTAGAAGTCCAATCAACGAAGTCTCTTGGCCGTCCAGGTTGGGAATTAGAACTTGTGTGGCGAATTGTTCCATGAATATGGTAAGACACTGGCATTTCCCGTCAGCCATCGCTGCCTTGCGGCTACGCTTGTGAGAGGAAGCCTTTGGTTGATGACCCCAATCGTCCTCTTGTCTGGGTCCAGACACCCTGGCAGTATCCCAGCCCATGTACCGGATCCCCGTAAACAGTCACCTTTGTTCTATGCGGTTGTCTGGTTGAATTACGGTCAATACAGGTCGATGCAGTAAACGGTGTTTATTTGTTGTACAAGCATACACCCAGACAGACTGCAGTTCTGAGACTAAGAAGGATGGATTACATTAGGATATGCCACAACTGCCTCGCAGACACTTTTTCGCCCAGCCTTGTGCTGAGTGGAAGTGGCCGAGAAGTGGACAGTGTATGAGATGGCAACGAAGTATGGAGGAGCTAATCAACTGACTATATTGGGTCGACAACTACCGTCTCCCTGGATGGGGACTTACCGCACATATGGTCACCTGCCCTGTATCCGTTTAATGAAGCCGAATCCCTACGTCCTAATGTCTCGGAGGCTTCCGATCGAGTACAATTAGGACCATTGTCCGGGCTCCCTCGATGTCCGTTCCAAAAAAACCAGCACGCAGTCAGATGAACCGCAGGCTACCTGGAAAGATTCGGCGTCTTCTGGAAAAGAGGTTTCAACTCTCTTTCAAAAAGTTAACTACAGGAGGCAGAAGATGAGCTGGCGTTTCGTAAAATGCGGAACCGCTGTAAATCAGAAATCCGCCAACGGAACATACGAAAACAGCCACCATTCTGAACCTCGCCCATAAAAACCCAAATGTGCTGCTCAAATACATGAGAATTCGCTGCAGAAACAAGCCAAAAGCATACTCTTTGACGAACAGGAACGGGGAACCAACTAGTGAACCAACAGTGATGTTTGAGGTCAAAGTTATTCATTTCACTGCACAATAAGAAATCGGCCTAAAAGGCATTCGTCGTTCTGCGGATGATTCAGCGTACCTTCTCCCGTATTACTCGAATGGACTTTCGAATACTCTACGCCTACGTCAAACCACTCCTTGAATACGCAAACCAAGTTGTCTACTCAGAACGCCTAAAAGACGTAACCCTCGTTGAGCGTGTCCAGCGAGCTGCTACAAAAATGATTCAACTTATTAAAAGCATTTGATAGGGTCCCACACGTCTCGCTGCTCCACAAACTTGAGTCTTACGGGATTCAAGGAAACATCCTTCGCTGGATCAAGGCGTTACTATCAGACAGGTCATTTCGAGTGAGAATAGGCTCGACCTACTCTTCTCCAGGGCCGGTCTCCTTGGAGTTCCTCAAGGCTCCGCATTGGTACCACTGCTGTTACTAATATACGTCGACGACCTTCCAGATGTTCTTGTAACTCCATGTCTACTTTTCGCGGACAACTTGAAATCCTGGAGTTCCAATGCCAGTGCCCTCCAAATGGATGTAGACGCTCCAAAACAGTGGTCGTTGGACTGGCGCCTTCCTCTGAATGACCAAAAGCGCGTCCATATGTCAGTTGGAAGGGGCTCAGCGAATGCCTCTGTCAAGCATGGTGGGAAAGGACCAGAAGGCATCACGAGGATAGATGCCAAAAAGGGCTTGGGTATCTGGCTCACTTCAAAGTTATTCATTTCACTGCACAATAAGTAATCGGCCTAAAAGGCATTCGTCGTTCTGCGGATGATTCAGCGTACCTTCTCCCGTATTACTCGAATGGACTTTCGAATACTCTACGCCTACGTCAAACCACTCCTTGAATACGCAAACCAAGTTGTCTACTCAGAACGCCTAAAAGACGTAACCCTCGTTGAGCGTGTCCAGCGAGCTGCTACAAAAATGATCGCCGGCCTTAAATCCGTGGAATATGAAACCCGTCCCGCGGTGCTTGACCTTTTCCCCTGGCATATCATCGCCTCCTGGAGGACCTAATTCTCACTTATGCCCTGTCTGAACAAGACCTGGCCAACAGGTTTTTCGCCGTTGACCAAGAAGACACACGGCTAGAACATGGTGAGGAAATTTTCGAGCTCAGAGCGCACACTTACATTAGACGAATTTTTTTCTTATTCCGGGTAGTAGCTGCGGGAAAAAACCTACCTCGGACAATTGTCCACGCCCCACATAGACACTTATTTATGCAAGTCCTCGCGCTGACACGCATACTGCTCCGCGCTGAGAACTTAAAGAGAAGTGCTACACCTTTTTTCACTTGTGCCTTTCAGATGAACGACAGCCGCTGAACGACAAGAACAAATCCGACCCAGGAAATTTGGGCGAAAGCCTCGACCCTGTGCATCAATCCGTAGATCCGCGAATACACTGCAAGAGTCTGAACTCCAGACTGCCCATGTACGGACCACGTCGCAACTCGAAGAGAATTAGAAACATTCTAAAGGATCGTCGCTTGACTGCAACTCCACCAGGATCCACATGATCAAAGCAGGAAACCCCCCACACGTTCCCCCTCTTCGTCAGCGAGCTCGATTCTGAATGCACTCACGCAGTTATTTATTATAATATATATATTTGACTGCAACCCAGGATCCACATGATCAAAGCAGGAAATCCCCCACACGTTCCCCCTCTTCGTCAGCGAGCTCGATTCTGAATGCACTCACTCACTTATTTATTATAATATATATATTTTTATATATGATATATATACTATCTATATTATATTTCCAACACCTATTCATCTTGGGGTAACGGCATTTTCCTCAGCTTAGTTCTCGGTCTGAGCCTCCCAAGCTAGCGTTCACGTCAAAACAATCATCAGACGTGCACGAGGTATATCAACGCCCAAAATGAAGTCAGGAACACCTGTACAGGGCTTCATATATATAGAGAAAGCGGCCCATTAGCAACCGGCATTCTGCCAATACTGGGTCATGATTGGTTTTAGGGTGCAGACTTTCGACCAGTCAGAAGTCGGCTTGATGCCGGACCGGCAGCGTCCCGATTATTGGCCAATATTTCGTGGGATAGCTGTCTCGGCCGTGGCAGGACTTGACTGCTAGCGGTAATGCGGGCGCCGTGTGGAATTCCGCCACCTACACCTGGTGTTTCGTCAGTCGCTTGACGAAGGCCGCCTTCCCTCTGCTTGGAAGGAAGCTATTGTCACGCCAATCTACAAACCTGGTGACCGACTGTCGCCTGGCAGCTTCAGGCCTATAAGCCTCACTAGCGTGCCGTCCAAGGTGAAGGAATGCATTCTGAAGCGAGCTATCCTAGACCACCTTACTTCCAGCAACCTGATATCTCCAGCTCAACACGGATTTCTCCTAAACCGTCCTTGCGTGACAAACATGCTCCTGTTTATGGACAGCTTAACGCAAGCCAAGGACGAACGACCCATATCGGATGCCATATTTTTCAACTTATTAAAAGCATTTGATAGGGTCCCACACGTCTCGCTGCTCCACAAACTTGAGTCTTACGGGATTCAAGGAAACATCCTTCGCTGGATCAAGGCGTTACTATCAGACAGGTCATTTCGAGTGAGAATAGGCTCGACCTACTCTTCTCCAGGGCCGGTCTCCTTGGAGTTCCTCAAGGCTCCGCATTGGTACCACTGCTGTTACTAATATACGTCGACGACCTTCCAGATGTTCTTGTAACTCCATGTCTACTTTTCGCGGACAACTTGAAATCCTGGAGTTCCAATGCCAGTGCCCTCCAAATGGATGTAGACGCTCCAAAACAGTGGTCGTTGGACTGGCGCCTTCCTCTGAATGACCAAAAGCGCGTCCATATGTCAGTTGGAAGGGGCTCAGCGAATGCCTCTGTCAAGCATGGTGGGAAAGGACCAGAAGGCATCACGAGGATAGATGCCAAAAAGGGCTTGGGTATCTGGCTCACTTCAAAGTTATTCATTTCACTGCACAATAAGTAATCGGCCTAAAAGGCATTCGTCGTTCTGCGGATGATTCAGCGTACCTTCTCCCGTATTACTCGAATGGACTTTCGAATACTCTACGCCTACGTCAAACCACTCCTTGAATACGCAAACCAAGTTGTCTACTCAGAACGCCTAAAAGACGTAACCCTCGTTGAGCGTGTCCAGCGAGCTGCTACAAAAATGATAACCCCCCACACGTTCCCCCTCTTCGTCAGCGAGCTCGATTCTGAATGCACTCACGCAGTTATTTATTATAATATATATATTTTTATATATGATATATATACTATTTATATTATATTTCCAACACCTATTCATCTTGGGGTAACGGCATTTTCCTCAGCTTAGTTCTCGGTCTGAACCTCCCAAGCTAGCGTTCACGTCAAAACAATCATCAGACGTGCACGAGGTATATCAACGCCCAAAATGAAGTCAGGAACACCTGTACAGGGCTTCATATATATAGAGAAAGCGGCCCATTAGCAACCGGCATTCTGCCAATACTGGGTCATGATTGGTTTTAGGGTGCAGACTTTCGACCAGTCAGAAGTCGGCTTGATGCCGGACCGGCAGCGTCCCGATTATTGGCCAATATTTCGTGGGATAGCTGTCTCGGCCGTGGCAGGACTTGACTGCTAGCGGTAATGCGGGCGCCGTGTGGAATTCCGCCACCTACACCTGGTGTTTCGTCAGTCGCTTGACGAAGGCCGCCTTCCCTCTGCTTGGAAGGAAGCTATTGTCACGCCAATCTA